AGAGAGAGAGAGAGAGAGGGCGGGGGGGAGAAAGAAAGAAAGAAAGAAAGAAAGAAAGAAAGAAAGAGAGAGAGAGAGAGAGAGAGAAAGAAAGAAAGAAAGAGAGAAAGAAAGAAAGAAAGAGAGAAAGAAAGAAAGAAAGAACTTCAATATTGAAAGTGCTTTCCTGGGTATGGCTTCATTTGATATTTACCTTAAAACCTGAATGTGAGATAAGTAGGCAGGTGCTGTTATTCACAGGTGAGGGACTGCAGGAAAACATGTCTATGGTAACCACTTAAGTGGCATAGGGAGGTGCAGAATGGAGCCTGCATCTCCTAAATTCTAAAGTGGCATTGTATCTACTATGTCAGTCCATGTTATGACATTTTTTTGTTTCCTGTGAATAGTAGAAATATATAACACTTACCTTTTAAGCTATCAGTATCCTCTCTTAAATGGCATTTTTTTTCCTTTTTAGGAATTCATTGCTGACTAAAAAAGCTCATTCAAATGGACTTAGAGCAGAGAGGTTCAGAGCATGGGTTCCAGAGCATGATAGATGGGTCCAAATCCATACTGCTCCAAACACTGACCTTATGAATTTGGAAAAATTTAACCCTCTGTATGCTTGTCTTCTCATTCATCAAATGGGGTTAACGAGACAGCACTGTGGCAATTATTTGAATAAAGAGGATTTCTAAAGCCTAGTACAGTGCTATTCATGCCTATGAATGCTGTAAATTATATCCTTTATTCAAATTTTGTTCTTTTACACAATTATTCCCAATATTAAGAAGATTAAGTGAGTGACATTTTATTTCTCAGGCCACTGTTATTGTTATCGTATTCATTCTAATTGAAAGAATCTTGTTATTGGTGATGTAAGAATAAGAAAGCCCTTATTAATATTTTCAGAACCTGGAATTTTGAAGTAATAAAAACTGGAAGAGTCCTCTGACAATTGTAAGCTATTCCAAAGTCACGTAAAGAATAACAATGGATCTCTGTGCAGCATTTTTATGAAGCCTCATTTTTATTATAACCATATTTGGAGCAAGGACATCTATTATTTTAACTACACTAGGCATGCTGCAATATGATTTGTAATAATCTTTCTTAGCCTCATCTATACAGAATTCATTACAAATGAATTTTGAAATGTTCATTCCAATAAGCCATGAAAGAACAGACCTGCACCATAGTGTCATTTGAGAAATATTAGGAACAATGAGCTCTTTACACGCCTATCAGTATTCATGAATTTACTTTAGCACAAGAAACTTCCTAGGTTTTGAAAGAGAGAAGCAAGTGGTTGGCCTTGATAATTGACCAGTGTCATCCTTTCTCAAGATTAATGCCCTTAAAAGTGTTCAACCTAGCTTCTTGCCAGCTACAGCATGCTGGAGCCTCTGGTGGGCTAATGAATGCCACTTACCCATTCAGGTTCACAACAAATTGGGAAATAAGAAAAGGAGGAATGTGAGACACAAATGCCCCAGGTTTAGAGGTAGTGGCTTAGTGGGTCTGACTTATCCATCCCCCTAGTCATGGCTGCCCTGGGATGGGGAAGCCCACCCACATGAGAACAGGAAGGAGGAGACAGACTTTCAGCTTAGAGAAACAGAGGGAAACCTCTGCTCCTGCCAGAGCTCGGCTCTAAAAGGAGAAAGGAGAAGCGATGAGCCAAACAGGCCCAATTTATTCCTCCCAAATATTTCAATTGGAAAAAAATAATCATTCCCTCCCCCCACCGAGTCCCTGTGCACATACTGCTCTGGGACCCAGAACACGGAAAGAACTCTCCACAAACTATACCTCTGGTTCCTGCATTCCACATTTCAAAAAGTTTAGCGCTTTGCTCAGAGTCATTTTAATACCCTCATCAATAAATTGTTGGAACCAGGCACAAGGAGACCATTTGAATGTGTTAGGAATGGTGGTGGTGGTAGGAAGTATGGAGTCTTGCCCAGGTTCAGGGCTGGTTTAGTGAAGCCATAGTCACCATTATGGATGTATCAGTTATAACCACATAACTATAGAAACTTGCAAGCACTATTGAATGCCTATTTTGAAATGGGAAAATTGAGCAAACCTATAGAATCACTAATAAAAAACTCTCTCCAGTCAACATTAATGGGTCACTGTGCTACAAATTTTGACATCAAAGGCAGCTCGTATAGTGAGAATCGAGGATGAGAAATTGATATGTATTGAGTGCTGCTCTACTGCTGTTCATCCACTTCTCCCTCTATGTACCTTCTCTTGCTGGATGGCATCAGGAAAAGAGAAGTCCTGGATGCCCAAGTCAGAACCTCACTGTTATCTTTCTCATGCTCCTGCTTTGTCTCATCCTTTATGTCTAGTCCATTGCTTGTTGGATCAATTCTGAGGCCTCATATATCTCCAATCTTTCCCTCCTTTCATCATCTTCCCAAATCTAATGCAGTATATCTCTGCATTCCTTCAGCAGCTTCCAAATGGTCCTCCTTGCTCCTGTTTCCAACAATTTATTGATGAGGGTATTAAAGCAACTCTGAGCAAAGTGCTAAACTTTTTGAAAATGAGGAAGGACATGAGGGAGAGAGTCTGGATTTGAGCTCAAGTCTATCAGATTTCAATCTGAGCTCATGACCTCTACTAATATGCTTTGGCCCTCCTTCCCCCACCAGTGTAACTACCTGCAATTCTTGCATTAGCCTTTAAGCCTATGTGCTCTAATGACCTCTATAACCAATCACAGAAAGACTTCCCCATGTAACTGTTGTGATCCTTTTAAGTAGTTTCATCTTTTAAAACATAAAGGAAGGGCTGAGGGTGAGGCTCAATGGTAGAAAACTTGCCTAGGATGCACATGGCCTAAGGCCCAATTCCCAGCACTGCAAAAAATAAAACTAAAAAAAAAAAAATGATGAAGGAAAAAAGGCTTAAATCAGTACAGACAGTTACCCAGACCATAGTTCTGGCTAAAGATAGAGTCAAAATTTGGATTTCAGGTTTCCTGTTCCTGACTGCTAATACTGACTCTTAACCTATTAGAACACATTAATGGATTATAATTTGGAAAGTTAGTAATTTAAAGGTTAAATGAATTAAGGCTATGAAAACATGTGGCAATGATACCAACAGTCCAATTTTAAGGAGAGGCTGTTTCAACTAGAGTTGAGATATTTTGTGTCTGGGAAGGTTGCTACAGATCATTAAAGCGTGGTTCCCTCATTTTAAAGGTAATAAGACTAAGGCCCAGAAAATCAAGGGTGTAGAGGAAGGTCCACACAGCCAAGAAACATTCGAGGACTACTCTTTTCCTGTCTAGGCTTCTTTTTCTACATCATCTTCCTATTTTGTGCCTATATGAAAAAAATGAACAGATTAAATCCAAAGTGAAACAACAACAACAAAACCCCTACTCTGGCACACCAGTTTACATTCGGGCTGACAGTGTTGACCCAAACAGACTCTCATGCCTCTCTCTGATGGTGATTTAAAGACTTCCAAGCTGATGGGAAATGACATTGGGTTGGAAATCACACATGAACCTGATGCTTTTGTACAATCCTTTTTAACTCAGAGACTTCTATAGTCAGAAAACTTCAGAAATAGTTTCCAAAAATGTTGTCAAATGTTCAGAAATAAGATGGACCAGGTGCCAAAATGCAGTTTCGATGAAACTGATACACTGAAGTTGACTTTACTAAGTGCCTTAAATAAGTTTTTATTTCACAAAGTCTAAACTGATTGTTTGGATCTGTTTTTTCCCACGTCATTTTCTGGCTAATAACCATGGAGCAGAAAAGTGCTTTTCTCCTTGAAGATCTACAACATGTACATAGCATCACCAGGCCCAGGATCTCTCCCCTCGCACACTCTTTTCCTCGGATCGGCCTTTAAACAGTTGCTCTACCTTCATAGGAGTGTTTGAAAGAATCATGGCAAACCAGAATTTCAGATGCACTTCTGAGTTCATGTCAAGACTGTCACAGGCCCAGTCATAGGGAGAAAAACTCAAGAATAGAACAGCAATTATATAACTGATACACCAAGAAGTCTTTTATGTATTAGGATAAACCCCATAAACAAAAGCAAATTTTACCTGGGTCACAGAAATCAGGACGCACATAGGAAAAAAGAAGAAATCACATATCTTAGATTTTTGTTTGTTTGTTAGTTTTTGAATTGCTTCAAAAATACCAGGTTAGCCTTGGATTGAACAGACTTTAGGCCTCTATTAATCATCTCTTATTTTTGTTGAGTTTTGTAGTGGTCAGACCCACTTAGCTGATCACATGATTCCTATCAGTGGAGCTTTCAGACAATCCCTTTCTGCCTTGCTCCAATCAGACGGTCCTTTCTGATTTCTCCCTGGATGGAAATTCTGGAGCTCCCTGTCCCGCTTTTGTTCTCCTGTAAATACATGTGCCTGTCCTTCCTACAGATCCTCCCACCATCACAGAGTCCAAGAGCAATGAAGCCACCACAGGCCGACAAGCTTCACTCAAATGCGAGGCCTCTGCAGTACCTGCGCCTGACTTTGAGTGGTACCGGGATGACACCAGGTATGTACCAAATCTGCCACGCCCATAGTACCCCACCTGGTGGTGCTAGAGGCCCCAAAAGACCAACAACAAAACAGAGCCCAGTTGTAATTATGCAGACCTATTCTGTTTGGCTCTTCCTTTTCAGTATCTCTTTATCAAGTGCTTTAGTGCCTGTAACCCTTCAACCGAGGCCCAAACGCACTCAGTTAAAATATAAAAAGTTAAGTAGCTAGTTTAAAGGGTCATTTCCACCTGCATACCTTTCTCTCAGATAGCAGAAATTTAAGCCTAATGAAAGTCAACCATTCCAGAGTCTTCTCTTGAGGAACATTGATCTTGACAATAGGGATTGCACAATTAAGATGAGGAATTGAGCTAGGCATAACAAATTTTGTTTCTTTTCTCTTCTTTCTCCAATATAAAGATGGGGAAGGAAGTTAAAACCTTCATCGGTGTTCCTTTTAACTCTCCTGTTTTTGAATTCTTAGGATAAACAGCGCCAATGGCCTTGAGATCAAGAGCACGGAGGGCCAGTCCTCCCTGACGGTGACCAATGTCACTGAGGAGCATTATGGCAACTATACCTGTGTGGCTGCCAACAAGCTGGGGGTCACCAATGCCAGCCTAGTCCTTTTCAGTAAGTATGCCAAAGCAGGGTCCAGCTCGACATAATTACATGGGTAGAGTTTTCTTGTGGAAAGTTGGAGATCAACCCCTTTGTTATTAAAGGCAAACATTTATAAAAATAAGAATATACTCACCAAAACTAAAGCACAGTTTTCTCAATTCCTGGACACAAGATTTTCAAATGGAAGAATTTCTATCTGTATTCTCTTACTTTTGGGTAGGTGTCCTGTTTCTTTTTTTTTTTTTCTCCTCCCCTCCCCTTTACTTTTGTTTCTTCCTGGTTGGCTAAAATGCTAGGATATTCAGAGAGCACATATTTCTTTGGTGGTAGCCTCTTTAAGAAACAGAGGTGCTGTAAGAGACTGAAAATTGATGGTTGTTACAAAAAATCAGTGATGAGAGTAATTGAAGACAAAATATTCAATGAGGATGGACAAGCAGTTGAGAGTAGGGAGAAGCTGGAAAAGGAAGTATATTTTTAACAACTCAAGAGGAAGGGTGGTATTAATGGTTAAAGAATAATATAAAATGCAAAGGAGGAAAATGGTTGCATAAAGGATTCAATATGACAGCAAAAGACATTACTTGTCCAATGTTTTTCCTAACAGAGATGAGAATGTAGGCAAGGAAACATTTCTGAAGAGCAGAAAAGATCTTGAGAGTAGACTAAGGAGGAATCAGCCATTTCAAAGTTACCAATATTAGTAGGAAGCTCCACCTTCGAGTCTTACTTTTGAGCAGCATGCTGTAGTGAAGACTCTAAATCCCTGTCTTGTTGGTCAGGAAGCTACGAGTATAGAAGCAAATGCCCCCTGAGAAACAGAAAGATGATGGATGGGAAATTAATATATTTAGAATAGGGACAGGTTCATCAGAATAAGTAAAGCAATCAAAAGAGTTAGCACATACTGAGAAACAAAGTTCATTTGGACGAAAGAATGTACTATTATTCTTTTGGAATAACAAACTGCTAAAAAAAATTTTTTTTCTGCACAAGTTCAGTTGGGAAAAACTAGAAATACTATGGCCAGGGGAGATGTCTTCATCTTATTTTATTCCATTTAGATGAGCCTTCGTGGAAAATCAATTTAAGTGAGAGTTCTCTTGAAATGCAGTGCTAAAGCCATTTTAAAACTGCTCCAGATACAGCTCCACTTATGAAAAACAACAACCACAAACTACCCAAAATTCAGCCTTCACTTTCTCATTCATAACTCCAATTGACGTCAGTCTATGACAGTTTGATAGGATATAGCTATACAAATGTTGCCTCAATATGAAGTTTAAAATTCATATCCCTGTTTACTTGTCTCCAAAGACCAAGCATCCGTGTTCTTTGCTTCAGCGGGAACATCAATATCCACAAGACACTTGGGAAGATAAGTATTAAGAAATGTAGTTACCCATTCATTCCTGATATTAGGGATTTCAAAAATAGGAGCAAAAACCCAGCCTCAACTATAAATTCAAGGTACTGACATATCTAAGGTGACCTAGTTAAGTCGAATAATATATACTTAACGAAAAGTTTTATAGGGATTGAAAAAGAGAAAATGGACTGCAGAGAGTGAGCGATGATACATTTGCATTAAAATGCTTTCTTCTCATCACTGAGAATATGAAGTATGATAACAATATATTTCAAATAACAAAATATCGTCTGTATATGAAAAGAGAGACGAAGTGAGGTAGAATAATAGAATAGTTGGGGAAGGTAGAGAAAGAGAATGGGTGGGGTCAAAGATGATGAAAATATTAGTAGGAGTAATTGACCTAACACAAAAGTCCATTTGAAGGACTTAAACTAGTAAAATTAAGAATAGAAACTTACATAACTTCTGATTATAATTTGATAAGCAGGGAATAAGGCAATTGTATCATAATGCCCTTGGTGATTTGGAAGAAATCACCCTCAATTATACATTTGAGAAGTGCACGGTGCCCTGTTTAATGATGTTCCACCCCTCACAGGCCCACGCTGCCCTCTACACCACAGCCCACAGGGGTATCAGTTCTGCATTTAGAAGCATGCATAGGCAGCTCGTATCAGCATTTAGTTCAGAATTGATTTCCCACCTTATGGTGTTATACTTGCTGAAGAATACAATATGAAAGGTCATTAGACTTTGAGGTGAAAAGGAGCTTAGGAGAATCACAGAAAATTAGTCAATCATCTGACCTGTTTCTTAGACCCAAAGCCTAATTGTGGATGTTTTAAGGGGGAAGCAGCTGCTTCTCTTGTAACAAATATGGCACTCCCTGCCAGTCCTACAGCCATCAATCAGTTGTGGAAAGCACGTTGTTACAGTCTGCTGTGTAGCTGGAGCCTTTGAAGATGAGGCTCTATGGGAGCACTGTTCACAGAGGGGGAGAGAGAGAGAGAGAAAGAGAGAGAAAGAGAGAGAGAGAGAGAGAGAGAGAGGGAGGAGAGGAAGGGAGAGAATGAGATAGGAAAGAAGGAAGGAAGGAAAGGAGAGCACAAGGGAAGGGAAGGGAAGGGAAGAAAGAAAACATCAGGGTAAATGTATGTGTGGTGGCCCTTTGCCTGGTGTCAGAGTAAACAGGGTTCACGGAAGGAGCACAGTGAGCAAGCGTTCCTGCTGCGACTGTTCCATGAGCAGGGGCAGGAGGAGCTGTCTGCAGCCGGGACCCTGATGGAAGCACTGTGCGGGCAGCAGGGAACTCTGCTGACCAAGGCAGTCTGCAGCAAATGGGGCAGCTGGTGAGCTCCTGACAGCCAAAGGCAGCAGCAGGTAGACTCAGAGCCAGTGCCCTGAAGAGTCTGCGATTCTTCATCCTTGTTGGTGGTCAGCACCTTTTCAGCCCTGTCGGTCCCAGTGACATGCTGACTTTTTGCACAGTGTCATTTGTGACCACTTGTCCTCAGCAACTCATATGTGTACCACTCTACTCTAGTCAAACACCAATCTCCAAAGGGGTCAGAATAATTGAATGAGAATGTAAGAATACATTGCAATCATAGTAATTTCATCCTCAACTATCGGAAGCATTTCTCAATTGTTCTTTTCACATTTTAGCATTCTGTCAAAGATGACTTTCCAAGTAATGCCTTTTAGTTCTGTCTTCAGTCCCAGAGTGTTACCTTATATAGTTTTTTTTTTTGAGTGTATTAATCCAGTGGTGCAATGTGTATGGGTAAGGATTCAGCTTGGTCTTTGTCAGATAGGGGAATGTGCATAATGTAGATGAAGACTTGTACGGCTGGTGATGGCAAGAAAAGTTCTATTGCCTGCTTATGTAATATAACAAGTTCCATGTTCTGCTCCTGACACCTCCTCAGGTGTTCACAGCCCAAGGGGAAGCATGTTCCACCAAGGTTCCTGCCCTCCCTTGTTTTTGAAAATCAAAAGTTGAAAAATTTTCATGTTAAATGGTATTTACTTCACTTTATACTCTTACAGAAACCCATAAACCCTGACCTAAACTATAAAATAGCAAGAACCATGGTGGAAGATTAAGGATAAAAAGTGGGAATGGGGGAGCATCTAAAGAAAGAGAAGTCAGAAGGAGAGAATTAAGAGAATAAGGCTAACTAATGGGGTGTGATAAGCCCGAAATGATAATAACAGGGTGGAGCTAAGAGGGTGATAACAAGCTGGGAAGCAGTTGAAAGGCGATGAAAGTCGAGTGGGTGAGATGGTTTAGCAGTATAAATGGTCTTGTGGAAATGAGGGCAGAGTGCATTTACCCAGCTGTGAAGAGTCTGATGAGAAAATATGAAGCTGAGTCCTTTAAACAGTCCAAATAATAATAGTAATAATAAAAATAAAATACAGTAGAAAGAGTATAATATGGGACAGCGGTCTCCAACTGCTACATAAATGCTGAAAGCAGCTTAGCTATTTATTTTCAAAGCTGGAAACTTAATACCAAATAACCAGTGAAGGTTTAAACCATTTTTCTACTTGACACTCGTGTAACTAAGACACAATTGTTCACTGGGCGATTATTGACTTGCTCCATCTTAATGCACTTAGGAAACTTTCACATTGAAGCTACAACTTTCAGCTAGAGAGAGGTCACTGACTTGGCTCAGTGTCCAGATGCATCAACGTCCAAAGACCTTGCTAAAATTGAGTATTTTTTGGTTTATGGTATATGATGGCATGCAGATCAAAATTTGAATATGTACCTATGCTTACCTTAATATGGTTTGATTTTTTGTTAATTTTCATTTTTCACTGGTCATTATTTAGACAAACTTCTAGGTAGGATGCAGAAAGTTTGTGTTACTTTGTTACATTGCAGTGTTGGAGGGGGGTAGCAAGTACTGTATCCTATCCCTAAGGTGCCATTTATTCTTTCTGCAAGAACCTCAGGGAGGATTTAGAGTTAAGCCTAGGATTTTAATGAGCTATGCAAAGGGTACCTGAAAGCCTGAACTCTTGTCTGCACATTAAGTTTGCACTGGTAGCTCCAATATGGGACTGTGAGAGTCCCATAAGCTTAGGAACCAAGTTTTCAATAGAAGAGTACTCCTTATTCCTCAACAGGGTGTGTGATCAAGCAAGTTTGATTGGCTAAACAAATTTCAGATGAAATTATATCAAAACAGGAGGTTGGGATTAAGAAAGAAAAATAAACTTATATAATTCCAAGAAATGTATACTTGCTCAGGTATACTCTTGCACTGATGTCATTGATATGGAAGTTAAAACCTGAGAGAAAAATTGAATTAGTATTTCCCAAAATAAAGTTTCCATATGCTTGACTAATGCTGATATGGGCTACAGAGCTGATCCAAAGAAGTCTGTAGCTCCCAGAGATCCATCTGTTAGTAGCTAAAGAGTGGAGACTCAGGACCAAGAACTTGGATTTGAATACTTCAATGAATGCTTTCTATTCCAATTCTCTAAAATAGCTAAAATCTTGGCCGTGGGTGTTGCCAATGGACAGAAGGATCCAGTATGCAAAATTACCATAATATGATGTTGTCTCCCTATTGTAGACATATTTTTTAATGTTTTTGTAATTTTAATTTTATTAATATGTGTCTATGATACTTCAGTGTTACAGGAAGAACAAATAAATATTTCATGAGAGAGATGATCCTACAGGCAAGGAAATTCATCTGGTTTCTAATTGTTTGAGTAGCTTAACATGAGAAAGAAATAGATAAGATCGATATTTTTAAACTCTCCATGATGTTTACTATTTTTTCCCCTTCAGAGCGTGTTTTACCCACAATCCCCCACCCCATTCAAGGTCAGTATGATTTTTATCACTGTAGCTCTGTTGCTGGGTCATTCTCCAACATCTATAATGAGAAAAAGACATAAAGGAGAATTATATGTTTCCAAAATGTGCATACAATAGATATTATTTTTTTTCCTTAACCATTGAAAATGAAGTTAATCCATTGTCCCACACCAGTTGACAGGTTTGTAACAGGTATGCCACCTGCCCAAATTTCAGTAACTGGGAAGAAAATGTCAGAGAGAGATTTTTTCCTTCAGTCAGAATTGATTATAGGTAACCATGAACTCTCATAATTTGGAACACAGCCACTTAAATTCTGTAGCTCTTTAGTCCACAGGAATACAAATCCTCCCACCATCCAAACTCACATTTGGAGATTTATACTATCTGAATTTTAAGTCACTGATACTACTTATAAAAATGAACTTGTATACTAACAAAGGTTACACTCAACCAGAATATTAGGACACTACTTTTTCTTAAACTCTTGGCCAACTCACGGGTTTTTCCTTTTAAACACAAGTACTTTAGAAAACACACACACACACACACACACACACACACACACACTAAAGTAGTCATTCTGTATTCCTTTTCATAAGACTTTCTACGTACCCAAATTAAATTTTGCCTTCTACATCACATTTAGATGCAAGTTGCAGCCACGACTTTCTAGCTTAAGGCTATTTAAAGGCAAATTGGCAAATAAAATTAAAATAATACAAAAAAAATCTGAAATGAAACCAACCTACCATTGAAATTAAATTCCAGAAAAGTGATTTGCAAATAGCACTCAAAGACCTGAGAAAAAAATGGAAACTAGGCCATGCGGGGCCTAGTGTGGAAAAAATAAATCCAATTAAACAAGATTATCATACACACTATAAAGAAAATGTGCTCAGAATTAAAGGTAAAAGCTGCTGTTTTGTAAGTTTGAAAATGGATCATATTTCATTAAACACTTGTCCAGACTAAAAATTAGAGCAAAACTGGGTACAGATATTTAGTGTCAATAATATGATGTTTTGCATATGTGTGCATTCACATATATGAAAACTAACTTTAATTATATTTGAAGTAAGTATTGCAAGGTTTACAGGATCCAAAACATAGCTTAATAAAACAATGATTCCTAAATTGTGAGAAGAGTCCAAACATTTTTCAGTATACAAGCTTGTAAGAGCTCTTTAAAAAAAAAACAAAAAAAAAACAAAAATTTCTAAAACATTAATGAAATCTATGTCTTATCCCAGCTCCTCAAAATAAAACTGTTAAAAATGTGTCTGTTTTTTAGACTTGACATGAAACTTAGTATTCGTGGAAAATATCCCATCTTTGAATTCCTGACATGCCACAATTATTTTAAGACATTTGTCTTCTGGTGTTGCTGCCAAGATTGACACCATTTTATCATGTTGCCATCGTGCAAGTATCTTGATATGGAAAACACACACATACACATTTGTCCCGATGGATAACATTTTTCAAAGAGGTCATGCCCCAACCACGTTGAGCTTTGTACAGTGTCACTATGACTCTAGGTGTCCTTTGTGAGAGCAGTTCTGCAGCCACAAACTCAAATATTTATCTGATCATACATTATGATATATGTAACACTGAACAAAGTGAGGCCAGTCGTTGCTCTCAAAGGGTAGCTGTCAGATATTGAAAAACAGCCTTGTCTAGGGATGGAGCATGTGAGATTTTGTTGAACTTTTTATTTCCCACAAACTGCATTGTTGATTGGAGAATGACCCTAGTTTGGTTTTATGCTGTAGGTAGACTGTAGTTAGCTTTCTTAGATTTGATAGTTTTTAGAGAATTTAGTTTTCTTACTACTAATACTTTGGGCTTCTGCTAGTGGAAATTGAAAAGCTGTTCATTAAGACTTGGGATAGCAGATGTGAGAGGTTGCTATTGAAGATGTCTCCCTCTCTTCTTTACAGGGACTCTAACTTCCCAGGAATATAAACACTTTTTTCCTCCTGTTTCCAATCAAGACGGCAACCCAAGGGAAACCCAGTTTTCCATTTAAATAAAAGCTAAAAATATAATGCTTAATTATTTAGGGTGTCAATTTATACCCAAATAGCTATGAAAAGCATGCCTTATGATGTTTACCACTACAGTGCAGACTCCTTCATTAGATCAAATATCATATGTTGTCATCATCTACATGGAGCCCTAAGTGTCATCCTCAAAGCAGTTGGTTGACAGAAATGGCCTGAAGAATTTTGAACCAACTAATTTCCTAAAGGGGTTTTGAAAGTAGAAAGTCACAAAGATCCTTTTCTGCCCACCCATGATAAAAAGAGAATCCTCTCTCTTCATTTCCTACCTAAAAGAAATATACATTACATTGCAGCTGCTTCATTATTAACATCTTTCATTGGAGAGTAACCTCCCTCATCCCCACTCTCTGTGGCTCTTCAAGCTGGCTGGGAATGTGCTGTAGAGTCACAGCCAGAATGCAGTCCTAAACCCCTTCAAGCTGTGATTAAACAAAAACCAGGCTCAATAAATCAAATGCATTTCCCTTGGGTTTCCATCATCATATTGCTTGATTTTCTGCAGCGATAATAATAATACTGGAATTATACCAAAGGGTAATGTGTATCGGCTGTGGCCAATTAGAAATCTTCAAATGTCCTTTCCCCTGTGCCAAAACCCAAACAAAACAAAATGACAACAACAACAACACAACAAAAACAGTGTGCTTCCTTGTTCCTTAATTTAAAAGATACATATAAAAATAAGCAAGCAAAATAAGTAGCGTTCTGTTCCTGATCTGTTTCTGATAGGTGTTTTTCCCCATTAATTTTAATTCAGGTTTACTTATTCTAAAATGAGTGCTGAATTGCATATATTTGCATAAATACCCCTGACTATATCGCTGCAGAAAACCCACTGAATTGTAAAATGAGGAAAGAGTCGACTCTAATGTCTGAGGGAACTTTTCTCGCTTTGTTTGACTCAAATCATTTCCTGGGGCTCTGAATACTGGGCAATGATAATGTTCCTCCCCATCAACCTACTGGCGCATAGCCCGTCTTCATAACAGAAGTGCATCTAGCAATGTCCTCATGTTGAGGAGGACCATGCATTCAGGTGAGACGATGAAACCAACCTTAGAAAGTTAAAAATCAAGTGAAAGAAGGGAAAAGGACAAGGACAAATCATCATTGTTTTGTTTTCACAATTATCAAGCCAAAAACTCCCTTGAGCTGGTGGCTCTCTGGGCTCTATCAGCCCATCCTTCTCCAATCACTGCCTCTTGAAACAAAACAAAAACCCTGGAATGTGTCTCACTTGTTTGCCTCCCATCTGATTGTTTATCCCAAGTGAACAGCCTTTCCAATCACTAACCCCGTGTGGCGAGTGGATCTGGGAAATGTTGAGATTATCTTCCAGGTTCAGGCTTTGCACCAGGTTTGTTCTCAGCTGCTTGCCATTCAGTCCCTGTTTTTCCATTGATAAAACACATTGCACATGGCTGGGTTTGCATGATTAATACAGCTGTCTAAAGCTCTCTCTGAAAACAAACAAAACCCCCCAAAATTAAAGTTTAAAGAAAATTCAAATCCAACCCACAAACAAACCAGGCTTGCATAAATCTGCAGTCCTGTGTGTTTCCTCCTAAAGGAAGACAGGTGTTCTTATGGACAGGTCTAGCATCAGAAAAGCCAGATTCTATCTACAGTCAGAGGAGGGGAGGGCCCTGTCCTCACTCAGCACTCCCAGGAATGGGTTCTAAAGCCCATATTCCAAAGGGGTGGAAGGGAAAATGGATAGGACAGCCTACCTATCTCATGCCAAAAAGATCACTGGATAATTTCTACAGTTTCATTTATTTTCTGTAGGATATCATCCTGGGAATCAATGAGAAAATGCCTCTTCTCAGCCCTTTAATATAACAGGAGTTTCATCTTTCCCAACAATGGTCATATTAGCAATAATAACAATAGTTAACCCACTTAGTTGGCTTCTCATGTACCAATAGAGTTCTAAGGTCTTTTGTATGTATTAACTCAATTGACTCCTACAACCCTCAGAAAATAACATGAACTTTCTGCCACACTTCTTAAAGATCAAAGTATATCCAGATTCCAATCCACAACTTGCTGTACCCAGGCACACACATAAATCTATACTACATTATAAATAACCATTATGTATGCATTCATAATGTTCATTAGATACGCATCTATAAAATGAATTTTAAACATCCATCTAATTTATTTTATATATTACAATACTCATAATACATAACAGTTACTTTAATGTCCATGTGTTTTTACAAAGTCCATTTTCAAATATGCTCAACAGAGAGAGAGATGTATGCCTGACTCCCAGAAATTTATATGAAAGCATTCATCTTTTTAAAAACATGAGCAGAGCTATCTGGCATCAGCACATCTAATTTCACACACTTATTCAGACTGATTTGCATACACACCTCTATTAATCATGGATAATTACTAGCATTGTTCTCTGTAATTCAGTTTTTCCAACTGTGAAATGGGAAAGAAATTATATTTTCCATGCCTACAAGCTCAAAGTGGTATTTTAAATAAAATACAAAAGAGAACTTTAAGTTCCTAGAAAAAAAGTGTATTGAATTTAAAATAATCATATTCAGATACACATATTTCTTTTAATTTTTAAAAATACTGTATTTAGAGATATTCTTGTGCCACTTTGCATGGACATTAGCTAGATGTAAATTCAGTGTGTTTTCATTGTAGTGTGATATATTATGGAGTCTAAGAATGTCTGAAAGCCTCACATTTCTAAGATGTTTAGAATTCCAAAGACAAATTTAAAAAAATGTTTCATTGTTTTCACCAAGTATCATGATATTGCACATAAAAGGAGCAGTAAAATTTCAGCATTCTTCATTGTGTGGCATGTATACATTTTTAGCAACTTCCCATCATGCACATTACCACATGTCATTAATCCATAGTATTCAACCCAAAGAATATGCCCTCTTTTTCTGGTCAAAG